TTAAGGTTGTTGGTTACTTCCGCAATGGAATTCTTTAATTCTTGGTATTGGGCTTGGCGTTGTTTTTTTTCTTCTTCAATTAAGCGTCGATTTTCACCAGTGGCCTTTTCTAGTTTTTTGTCTAAGTCTTTGATTTCTTTGTCAAATTTTTCTCCTTGTTGTTTAAGTTCTCCTTGGAGTTCTGATTTTAGGTCTCCCATTCTTTTGTTCATTAACTTGCCCTGAGCATCCACTTTACTGTTTAATTTAGCCTGTCCGTCTTTGAGGTCTCCAACTTCGGCGGCTAGACCAGAAATAGCACTACTCGTAAGCATGTCTTTTAAATGGTCAATAGCAAATTCAACACTAGACAAAGCGAGACTAGCCACGGCAGCTGCTTGGGGTCCACCCATACCAAAAACACTAACGGCACTAATAGCTGGTAGTCCCATTCTCCTAACTCCTTTAACAGCATCATCAATCAGGCCAAGTGCTACCGAGGTGCCACCACTTTTCATAATCTCATCTAATGTTTGGTTTTCGTTGACTTCTTTTAGTTTGATATCTACTGAGCCAAGAGTAATGAACTTTACAGACTTGGCTACAACTGCATTATAAGCTTTTACTGCGTAATTAAGCCCTTTAATTGAGGCTCTAATTGCTGATTTGCCAAATCCTCCTTTTTCATTTTGCTTTTTTAATTTGTCGCGGTGAGTTGTTGATTCTTCTCAGTGGAGATTGTCTTCGTTATTGTTATTTGTCATATTAGTTGGTTGGTTAGATATCTATATGTAGAAAAAATAATTATATATGGTTAGTGAATTAGAAAGTATTAAAAAGATAGAGAATGAGTTATTAAAAGTTAGATTAGAGATTACGGAAAAGGAGCAAGAACGAGAGAAAACTCAAAAAGGTGCTGATTTGTCTAGTAATGTATGCGGATTTTTCTTAATTATTACTTTTGTTGCTTTTTTCGCAGAAAATAAATTAGTGGCGATTATTCCTGGTGCTATAACTTTATTACTCTTCTTTTTTTGGTCTATGCCAAAATGAACTAAGGCAGGAAGACTTATTCAGGACATCAAATTGGCAAAAAAAAGAAAAAAACAGTTAGAGAACGAAATAAAGGGTTTGGAATATTTAGCCAAAGTGAAGGCCGAAAAAAAAGTGAGTTAATTATTAACTAATTTCTTCTGATAAAATCAGTAAGCCAGGGCGATTATTATTAAAATTCAGATTATTTTCATAGTTTTATTTATTAGGTTTCTTTACAAGGCTAAAATAAGGCTGATTAATTTACTTTACAAACAAAAGAAAGGAACAAAAGGAAAAACTAAGCATGTTTTCTAGTGTGGCCATTAGAAGTTTTATGAGTTAGAGGATGAACTTCTTCTTTGGCTCTGTTTTCTCAGCGTTGTTGCCAGCAATCTAATTCATAGGCTTTTTGAATTCCTAATCAGAAATCAAGAGACATTCCAAAAAAAAGTGCTAATCGGCAAGCAATATCAACAGTAAATTCTTTTTTTTCGGCCAAAATATCTTTTATTTCTTCTACTGGAACATTAATGCCATTGGCTAGTTTTTGAGGGGTAAGTTTAGCAGGAACCAAAAATTCCTCCCTTAACATTTCACCCGGATGAATGGGTTCAATTTTCTTTACCATATTCTTAATTTTACTCATAATGTTTGCTTATTCTTACTTCGTAGGCATTATTGTCTTTACCTCATTTAAAAATGATGCGATACTGCTTATTGACAAAAATGCGGTAATAATCTTTTAAATTTCCTTCTAGTTTACGAAGACGATTACCAGGTATTTTGGATAAATCGGTTAAAGAAGTAGCAAGGTCTAAGTCCCGCAAACTTCTGCGGATTTCTTTGCGATAACTTCTTCATTAATATCTTCTCAATCACGGTAAAATTTCTCTTCTTTTTTGCTTTTTCAAGTCTTAATCATTTTAATTTATTTTTTTCTTTATTTCTTTAAGGAGTAAAAAGGGTAAAAAACTCCGTTAGTTATTCCTGATTGGTTTTATTAATCATCTTCTCCAAAATAATTATTTCTTCCTGTAATTGTTTTTTGTCTTGTTCAAGATGTTGTTGCCATTGGGATTTTAATTGATCATATTTAGTTATCTTGGTGTTTAATTCCAAGGCTGCTTTTTTTATTTCAGGGATTATTCCCGAGACTTTTTCTTGTAATTGGTTTTTTAATTCTTCGTCTTTGCTAATAATTTTCTCAAATTCAAGGATCCAGCCTCCCTCTAATTTCTTTTCTTCTTTAAGTCGTTGGACTTCTTCTTTTGCTAATCTTAAATCAGTCTTGTCATTGTTGATAATTCGTTCCACGCAACGACCAAGAAAATTATAACAACGCTCATTAATAGGACCTACTCTACTACGACCTACTGCTTCTATTATTTCTTCGAAAGCATCTTTGTTTTTTTTTACTTCTTCTTTTAACTGATCTAATTCCCGGCGAGTATTTTGGAGTTTAGTTTCGAGAGTTTGTTTTTCTTCTTCTAATTTTTTTATTCGTTCGTTAGTCATAATTTATTGCTTCTAATTGCTTTAATTTCTCTTGTTTAGCAGTTAGTAATTTTCTTAATAATTCTGTTTGCTCTTTAGTTCTTTCCTCCATTTCTTTTTTTTCTTGGCTAACATTCTCTAACAGTTTATTTAATCCCTCAAAATCAATAGTTTCATAATTAGCGGCATTATCATCAAAAAGAACATTTATTTTCCTTAATTGTTCCTGTTGTTCTT